GCTGCGAGTTTCCTCTTTCATCCTGTCTATTTGCTTATCAGCAAAGATTTTGATAACAAGTTGACCATTTCCCAGGACTGTGATGCCTGTAGTTAACTGCAATAAAGTAGCTGAAACAGGATTTAACTGTGTTATTATACTGATATTTGGCATTATCTGTTTCCCACCAGTAAAGTACGGTGATAAAGTACCTTGTCCTTAGTGAGTGATCTAGGAATTAACACTACAACTACGGCAAGGCATCCATGGACTTGTGTATGACTGTGACAAACACCTGCTTCCTGCTGCTGGTGTGCCAGAGCTTCATAAATGGCACTATGCATATTTTATAGAGTTCGTGGCCTGCTGTACATATGCACAAGCTAAAATCAGAGTTATAATCCTACAGTCGTCTTGGCGGGGGGGAGAGCAGCAGGGTGTGTCTGGAGCTGGGCGATGGACAGGCTGTGACATTAGCCAAGCTTGCCTTTATGTTAACACTGGCTATTTCTTCCTTTATGTTCCCAACAACTTTTAGGAACATAAAACTTCCACTGAAGTTTCCCAGAGAAGAAAATGATGTGCTCTCACATCCACATGTATCTTGTAATGGTATGACTTTCCTGTGAATCCCTCATCTCTTTAAAGCAACGTGGGGGGTGGATGTGTCTGTATTCGTCTGTGTTGACGACAGACAAAAATGGCCAACTGTCTTGCAAAGCCATTAAGGCCTATTTCAGCTTATAATAGGCCTTAATACAGAAAACCAGGCTCAGGGCAGCTGACAACAAATTTAAAACACTTAATTGTGATACAACCAAAAAAAACAAAACAAAAAAACCCCAGCATAAAATACAATATAAAAGCGTGCATAGCAATAAATTCAAAGTTCTAAAATCGATCTGGGGGGAAATCCATCCAATAAACATTAAATGGTCACCAGGGCTAGCTGGCTAAATTAGTAATATTTGGGTCAGCGAGGAGGCCGAGGAGAATTAGCTGTGGGGTCCCAGAGTGGGTAATCTTCATTAAAGGGGAGAGGGAGGGAAGAGAGGGGAATAAAAGATCAGGCTAAATTCAAATTGAAAGTCAGGCAGAATAGTTTTGTCTTACAGGCCTGGCGGAAGGAGGTTAAATCCTGTAGGGCTCTAGTCTTATGGGACAGAGCATTCCACCAGGTCGGAGCCATCACTGAAAAGGCCCTGGCCCTGGTGTCTGACTTCTTTGGGGCCTGGGACCTTAAGGTCCTCTGCGGGACATACTGATTTTATAATGAAATGATTTTAGAATGTTGTATCATTTTACTGTTGTTAGCTGCTCTGAGCCCGGCTTCAGCTGGGGAGAGTGGGATAAATATTATTATTATTATTATTATTATTATTATTATTATTATTCCAGGAGAGGCGGTCCCGTAAATATGAGGGCCTTAAGCCACAAAGGGCTTTAAAGGTGAAAACCAGCACCTTAAATCTGACCCTATACTCCACCAGGAGCCAGTGCAGCTGGAAAAGCACTGGGTGAATATGCTCCCATGGCAGGGACCCCGTGAGGAGCCTCGCTGTAGCATTCTGCACCTGCTGGAGTTTCTGGGACAGTTTCAAGGGCAGCCCTGCATACAGCAAATTACAGTAGTCAAGCCTGGAGGTGACCCTCGCATGGATCACTGTGGCCAGGTCAGGGCGAGAGAGGTAAGGGACCAACTGTTTAATGCGGCGAAGGTGGAAAAATGTCGCCTCGGCTGTTGCTGTAACCTGCGCCTCCATGGAAAGGGATTCTACTCCATGTCATACTGTAAACCACTAAAGCAGGGATAGCCAACGTGGTGCTCTCCAGATATTTATGGATTACAATTCTCATCACAACAGGTGCGTAAGGGGTGTTAGAGAGGGGTAGTATCTCAGGTGGGGGAACTGCTTCTTCTGGGGTACCTTGTCCACCTTTGTTCCTCACCTTGCACTCAACTCTCACCAATGGCTCCTAGAAGCTGTCAGAATGCAACAGTGGCCACACCCTGGGAACGGCTTGAATTGGTACAACAGTAAGTAACCAAACCAACCCCTGTGTTTCAAAGAGAACGTCAGCGATGTATAGGCAACACAATGACCATGTACATACGCAATAAACAATCTTTTATAGAATTCCTTCAAACCATAACAAGTCCAAAATGAAATCTTTAGTCTTAAAGTTTAGTCATTGCTCATGTGACCACATTATTACATGAGCACTGCTCCACAGCATCTGATATTTTCATTTCATTTCATTTCAAAATAAGATGGGTTTATGAAGCAATTCTATATCCTCCCACCACGCTGACGAAGAATTCTACGAAACAGTAGTCTATATCCGGAATCACTGTTCAGTGTTGGACATCATATTTGCTGAATACACAAAGCTTCACAGCTTGTCTTTCATCGTACAAAGTCTGGTACCTCGCTTCATTTAAAGATTTTCAGAGACTTTAAGACTAAAGATTTCATTTTGGACTTGTTATGGTTTGAAGGAATTCTATAAAAGATTGTTTATTGCATATGTACATGGTCATTGTGTTGCCTATAAATTGCTGACGAATGGCTTGAATTGGCTAGCTAAACCGGGTGATGGTAGCCAATGGGTCCCAACCCCTGAGTGAGTTAGGGACTTCACCTGCATGCAAAGGCAAGCTCTGGCAGATTGAGCGAATGAGACCAATTGTGGGTCCAATGGCCAAGAAGGCGGTTTCTGCACGTGCTGTACAGGGAAGTGAGATGAGGCTCATCAGCTTAGGAAGGTAGTTCATCTAAGAGAAGGAAAACTCTGGTCCTAAACCACCATTGCCTTGTGGGATATTTTCAGGAGTCAACCCTACACAAATCCGGAGGGGAGTCCCTAAGATGGTTGGGTGCGTCTTCTTTCCGGCAGCTTCTACAGCCAGGCTAGTGCCAAATGTATTGCTCTGCTTTCCTTTGGACCACATCAGTGAGGCTGAGAGATGGTTATTGTTGCTTATCCCAGCCTTGATGGCCCATGTCATGAGGTAGCAATTAAATATTGCTGGACCTAGGTAAAGGTAAAGGGACCCCTGACCATTAGGTCCAGTCGTGGCCAACTCTGGGATTGCGGCGCTCATCTCACTTTATTGGCCGAGGGAGCCGGCGTACAGCTTCCGGGTCATGTGGCCAGCATGACAAAGCCGCTTCTGGGGAACCAGAGCAGCGCACGGAAATGCCGTATACCTTCCCGCCGGAGCGGTACCTATTTATCTACTTGCACTTTGTTGCGTGTGTAGGTCCCCAGGCCACCCCTCAAATAACTTCACACATAACAGTAATTTAGTTTTGGTTTTTGGGCACTATTTTGGCCACAACTTTATTAAAATACAAAATCAGTGAGTGGTTGTTTAGACATTGGTTATGACTATCTGTCCCCCCGCCTGGGACAGAACTGACATCCCGAGGTCCAATAGGTATCCAGTAGAAGAGAAAGTCAAACTGGGGGTCATTTGAGCTAAGCGCCGGACCCACGCCGCTCACCCCAGCAGCTCCCCGAAAGCTTGCCGGCCCAGATCCTATGACAAGGATTCCCATGACAGGGATTGGGCGGCCCTGGTCCCATGACAGGGATTGGACGAAATCATGGCAAGCCCCAGGATTCCTTTAACGGAATTCCCTTCAGCGCAATGGGAGGGGCAGGCACGGCCTATCCTGACCCCTCCACCACCAGCATATTATAACCAATGCCTAACCGCAACCTTACAAGTTGTGACGAATTGCTGAGTAGTAGGCAAAAACCAAATGGCACAGCCAATCACCAAATGGCAAAATTCCTACTAGGCCCCTGCGCCAAGGCAGATGACCCCATGACAGGCAAAGCAAGGTCAACCGGAAAAGAGGGCGGGCGGGCGGGTGATCCGATGCACTCTGCAAAGAGAAAGAGAAACCAGAGTGCACCAATATTTAAAGACTATGGTCCCACCCACCCAATTTGCAGCATACAATTTGCCCCAGCAACCCAGTTATCCAATCACAATGCCAGGCAACAACTATTAACCTGCCTGGCAACAAGAGGCCTGGCCCGGTGGCCCACACCGCAACACGTGCTCTCATTTATTGGAGAACACGCTATGTGCTTTTGAACTGCTAGGTTGGCAGAAGCAGGGACCGAGCAATGGGAGCTCACCCCGTCGTGGGGATTCGAACCGCCGACCTTCTGATTGGCAAGTCCTAGGCTCTGTGGTTTAACCCACAGCACCACCCGCGTCCCTACCTTTTAAAAAGGTAAAGGACCCCTGACAGTTAAGTCCAGTCGCGAATGTCTCTGGGGTTGCAGCGCTCATCTCGCTTTACTGGCCAAGGGAGCCAACATTTGTCCGCAGACAGTTTTTCCAGGTCATGTGGCCAGCATGACTAAGCCGCTTCTGGCGAAAGCAGTGCAACGCATGGAAACGCCACTTACCTTCCCGCCACAGCAGTACCTATTTATCTACTTGCACTGGCATGCTTTTGAACTATTAGGTTGGCAGGAGCTGGGACCGAACAATGGGAGCTCACCCCGTCACAGGGGTTCGAACTGCCAACCTTCCAATCGGCAAGCCCAGAGGCTCAGTGGTTTAGACCACAGCGCCACCTGCATCCCTATTTAACCACCTGTTAAAGAGTTGTAATTCAGCATCTCGCCAGTTAGAATGGATGATCTTCTTGTTCATGGACTCATGGGAGCCAAGGCTTCTAGGCACAATGCTACATGGATTGCCAGTGATCCATGAGATGGGAGCCTGAATAGCTCAGTTGGTTAGAGTGTGGTGCTGATGACGCCAAGGTTGCAGGTTCGATCCCTGTATGGGGCAGCTGCACAGTCCTCCATTGTGGGGGGTTGGACTAGATGAGCCCTTCCAGCACTGTGATTCTATGACCCACTAGCCAAAAGCTAAGGCTACACATGCCTAAACTGCCTATGCTATAGAATTTGGATTTGTGAGGAATTCAACTCTTTTTTAAAAAAAAATATGAAAGTTTCTACTCTTCACTATAAATGGAAATACAACCTCAGCTCAGTCGGTAGAGTGTGAGACTTTTAACCTCATGGTCATGGGTTTGAGCCCCCGTTGGGCAAAAGATTTTGCATTGCAGGGTCCCTTTACAATTGCCTCAGGGTCTCATGTGGGTATCTTCTTCCATCCCTTGCCATATTCCTCTCTGTACCGTCTACTGCCCAGCTCTTATCAATGCCCCTCTTTCCACAGCCACACAACTACTTGCTGATCCTGCAAAGCCGTAAAAACCCCCGGTTTTCGGAATAGCATACTTCAGAACTTTTTGTAATGGTTCATCAGGAACTTCTGTTACATGGATGCCAACATGGACGTTTCCTTTCTCACTCATCCTAAACACTCATCCAGGTTTGGTTGCTGTGTTGTGCTGTGGTAATTTCTTGATTGCTGACTGGGAGCGGCCGCCTACACTGGCTCCCAGTACGTTTCCGAGCACAATTCAAAGTGTTGGTGCTGACCTTTAAAGCCCTAAATGGCCTCAGTCCAGTATACCTGAAGGAGCGTCTCCACCTCCATCGTTCTGCCCGGACACTGAGGTCCAGTACCGAGGGCCTTCTGGCAGTTCCCTTGCTGTGAGAAGCCAAGTTACAGGGAACCAGGCAGAGGGCCTTCTCAATAGTGGCACCCGCCCTGTGGAACGCCCTCCCACCAGATGTCAAAGAGAAAAACAACTACCAGACTTTTAGAAGACATCTGAAGGAAGCCCTATTTAGGGAAGCTTTTAATGTTTAACAGGTTATTGTATTTTAATATTCCATTGGAAGCCTCCCAGAGTGGCCGGAGAAATCTAGCCAGATAGTCTGGGTATAAATAAATTATTATTATTATTATTATTATTATTATTATTATTATTATTGATTTCCCATGCCTATGCCAGCAGTTTCCCTGCACTGAGGCAATTACCTCAGTGGATTCAGTTGACGGTAGAGAAAATGAGGCGCTTGATTAGGATCCAAGAGAGAAGGCTTTGAGGCTTAGATCCAGCATGCTAAAGGGCTTCTTGCCGGGCAGCTAGTTATGGGTGTCATTACAGTTCTCCTCTGGGTGTTACAGTGCAGAGGTGTAGTAACATCCAGAGCTACCACAGCACAGAGCTGTGGTACTTTTAAGTGCTCTAGTAACTCATAGCCTCCGACAGCTACTTGCACAAGGGGAAGCAATGTTGCATGGAGAGCTCCATAACATCCATTTTTGCTGGCCAAAATCCTATCGTTGTTGACAACTGACATATCAGAAGGGCACATAGATCCTGTCAACGCTTCTAAGGACAGTGATCCATGAAGTAATGTGCTAAACAACTGGCTTCTATGTTTTAGGTCATACTACATGATCAGAGAGGCATGCCCAACCCACCTCACAGGTCAGTGATGAGTCTTCTCAACATTGTTATTTGTCTGTGTTTCATAAAGTGAGGATCTCAGGAGCTCAGCCTAACCAGAACACTTGTACCTCAACGTGAGATAAGCAAGGCCGTTAGATTAGTTGAGAAGATGACTTCTATATCTTGAGATGCTATTCTGTGTCACCCACTACTGACACCCTGATTCTAAATAAGTTTATTCCCAATTTTACTGGAACTTACTTGCTTTTAAGAATGAGATGTAATATTTGTTTTTGATTTAAGCACACACACAATATTTTTCCAGAGAGGAATGGGCTGTGCATGGAAAATACAAAGACATGCTAATAGGGCATCCCCAAGGGAAGGATTTAAATATCTGGTGTTTAGCTATATAATCTGATAGGATTGTGGCAACATTTCTAGAACAAATTTTTAAACGCTTTTAAATAATATAGGGTAGTCTTTTTCAAAGTTTCCCCAAAAGCAACACTATTTTATTTAGACCTAAACTCTACAAACTGCAATAAAACTAAAGAGTACACAAACACATCTTGTTTCAGTTGCTGTGGAAGAATAGGATTTTGCAAGATATGGAAGACAAATGTCTGTTTTCCACATCACAAACAGAAAATATTAATTTGTCCGCACCATGAACAAAAAGAAAGAAAGAAAGAAAGAAATGATTTGAAAGAAACACTTTCCAGAAAGGATTTAAAGAATGGCAACTAAAAAACCATGACACCACCACAGAAGGCTACAGATCAGGAGCACGTGTGATTTTATCTCTCTCTTTCCTACTTGTCCAATTTCAAACAAAAGCTTCCCCCTTTGGAAGTTGTTCTAAATTATTTTTACACACGTGATTCATAACGTTAAAATGAAATTCTTAGCATTAAACTGATTTAACCCCATAAATTTAGAACTTAAACAGTACCCCAATGGTAAACGTTTTTAAATGGAAGATAAGGACATCGTTGGGACTATTTAGGATTGTACTGTAAATCTACAGCTGTCTGAATCCATTAAGCTTAACTGGATTGTAGATTGTCCTCTCCTGTTTCCAGCAGCAAAAATACATTCAATTAATCAAAAGCACTTTATTTTTAAGCTGATTTACACCGCAGGGCTAACAACCAGATCCTAAACATGTTTACTCAGAAGTATCACTGATTTCAATGGGACTTACTCCAAGCTGTGTACACTTTTGCAATTAGGTATATTTACCTTGAATTAAGCCCCAATGAACTCAGTAGGACTTACTTCCAAGTAAACGTGCATAGGATCAGACCAGTGAGCCCACACAAACTTGGAAATATTTGTTCATTTAAGAGCCTGAGATAAGAGTTGCACATAAATGTGTTTAGGATTCAGCTGAACTGTCCAACTACCAAATACCTCCGTGCCATAAAGGTGCAGCTCAAATAAATTGTAATACTTCCACCCCCTCTCTTTTTCTGGCACCGGTTTTATTTCTCAATTTACAGCTCAATAACCATTCCCAAGCCTTCCCAGATAGATTAATCTGCTAGCCATCTTCTGCCTCGCAGAGGAATTGATCTGTGACTTTTTATTACTATCACATCGCAGGCAGATTTTTTGGTTCCCTTTGGAGAAAGAACGCCCCGCTCCCACCCCAGCAAAAGTGATGAAGAACTTACCAAGCAGGGAAGCTGGGCTAGGTGTGATATGGAGTCAGTGTTCACTGGAGCAGGAATTGTCTTCTCTGCTCGCATGGAGCGCTCCTGCACTGCCCTTATCTAGGGAGCAGCAGCAGCAGTTGCTATGGCGACGCTTTGTTTCCAAAGTACCCCAGGAAGGGAAAGAAGAGTCACCTTTAGCCTGTGTACTAGCAGATTTGAATGAAGTGGGGCTTGCCGCTTCTCAAATTAGCGTCGCCAGGAGGAGAGAAAACCCACAGATAAAAACTTCCAGCGGTGGAAATATCGCTCGCGAAACGGCGAGACCTCCTGCCACAGTCTGACGGCAGAAACTGCCCAAGGTTGACAGTGAGGGATGAAGAAAATAAGTTATGTGCATGGGCTTTAGACACCTAAAACTTTGGCCTTCCAGCAGATCCAAGATGTGCCTTTCCCAGAAGTTCAGGAGCTAGTTGATCACCGATCAAAATACAGAGCAATGAAGGGAAACAGAGTCTGGAAAGGGCACCTAAACAGTCAGAGCAAAGGTACACCGTGTCTAGGAATGAGGTTTCTCTGACGACTGTGGTGGTTTGAGTATGTTTACGGATTGGTTTGTTACACAAACTTGGCACACTGCTGCCATTTAGGGACCCGGGCGGGGAGTCTTCTGTGGCTCCTGTGCACATGCCAGTGGTGAGCAGAATTGGCTATTTTCGCCCGTCGATTGAGAGGGAGGTTTTGTTTGGAACGGGGGAAAGGCATACAAACAGGCTGGGCCTCTGGAAAGCCAGAGGAAACTTTCTGCCCGTTGTGCAGCGCTATGAATTGGAGCCCTTTAACCATTCACAGGGAAAGGCCTTCGACCTCTCAGAGATTTAGCAGCGCCAGAATTGGCGGAGGCTCATTGTCTCCGTTTTCTTTGCTCTTTCTGTTTGAAAGAGCCACAGAGCCATGGGGCCGGGTTCGACTACCCAGTTTTGCTAGCGAAAGGCAGCACCCTAGTGCAATGGGGCTATATGGACTCTCCTCCCAGCACACTCCCCATTCCTGCCCCAGATCCTGTTGCCAATTTTGCCTGTTGCCAATTTTGAAGGAGGGGTCAGAGGTTTTAAATGCTGGATGCCCAGCTTTGGGCGTCCTCTTGGCTGCTGGCACCGAATCACCCGCCCACCCTCCCTGTATTGGGGAGTTGTTCACTTGACCTTGCTATGCCTGTCATGGGGTCGTCCGCCTTGAGGCAGGGGCCTGGTAGGAATTTTGTCCATTTGGCTGATTGGCTGGTGCCATTTGGTTTCTGCCTACTGCGTAGCAAATCGTCACAACTTGTAAGGTTGGCGGTTAGGCATTGGTTCAAATTGGTTGGTGGAGGGGTAAGTGCCTACCCCTCCAATGGTGGTGCGGAAAGGGAATTCCATTAAAGGAATCCAGGGGCTTGCCTTCTTTTCGTCCTTGTCCCTGGCATCGGACTTGGGACAGGCAAGCCACCAGGAGCATGAGGGTGAGAAGTGAGGGACTGATGCCCAGCTTCATTTCTCCCCAATATTGTTTCCCTGACTGGCTTTCGCTGGAATCCAGAAGTCAGTTCTGTCCCCTGGGCAAGGACAGATAGTCGGAACCACTGCCTAAGCAACCACTCACATGTGTGTATATAAATAAAGTTGTGGCCAAAATTATGCCAAAAACCTAAACAAAAATTGATGTGTGATGTGTGAATTATTGGGAGGTGGCTTGGGGACCTCGACACGCAACAGCACAGTTTTAGATGCTTCTGCCTGGTAACACAGGCAAGGTGCTTGTGATGATGTGAATCACATGCTCCCTCACCCCTCTTGGCTGGTTTAAGCTTGCCTGAAGGGGTTTGTCCAGGGTGTGGCCAATGAGTCCTTGAAAGAAGGAACGATCCCTGCAGTCTTGAAAGAAGTGGTGATTTGACCACCCCTAAGAAGCCCACCACGGATCCATCATTCTATGACAACTACAGTGGTTCCATGGTTTTTTAACGTCTTGGAAGTTGAACATTTTTCAAACACTGAAAACCCAGAAGTACAGTGGTACCTCGGGTTACATACGTTTCAGGTTACA